GGAAGAAGTGCAGCCAGAGTGCCCCTTGGAGACCAGGATAGACAAACTTAATCTCTCATACTTCGGACATATTGTCAGGAGGGACCAGTCACTGGAGAAGGATATCATGTTTAGTAAGGTGGAGGGTCAGAGAAAAAGAGGAAACCCCCCCCCCCAACGAGATGAACTGGCCAAGTGGTAGCATTGATGGACTCAAGCGTGGTAACAGTAGTGAGGTTGGCCCAGGATCAGGCAGTGTTTCGTTCTGCTGTGCATAAATAAGGTCACTATGAAGTCAGTACCGATTGGATGGTACCTAACAATGGCACCTAACAACAACAACAATAAGGAGCTCTGGTAGTGTAGTGGTTACAAATCGGGCTGCAAACCTCAAGGTCAGCAGTTCGAAACTACCAGCTGTTCCGCGGGAGAAAGATGAGGCTTTCTGCTCCTATAAAGATTTACAGCCTTGGAAACCCTGTGCAGGGTCGGTATGGGCCGGAACCAACTCCATGGTACTTAACAACAGCAACAACAATGTGAATAAAATTTATACTTTGTTGTTTTTGTTGAGTGCCATTGGGTCGGTTCTGACCCACAGCGATCCTGTATAGGGTTTCTAAGGAGTGACTGGAGAGTTTGAACCACTGACCTTGTGATTTAAACCAACTTTGCAGTTCAGCGAATTAACCCACAATGCCACATAAAAACCAGAATAAAGAAGTCAACCGCAGTACTGGGGAAGAAGTGCCGTCCCTGAGAAAAGGTAAATCCCTGCCCAGCTGCCAAGCAGCCTGCCCTTCTAAAGCCCAGAGCACATCACCCTCTCCCTCCATCCTGTAGCCTGGGGTCAAACTCAACCAGCAGGGCCCCGCCTCCTATCACCCACTGTCCCAGCCCGCCTTCCATTCCCTGGGCCTTCACCCCTAGCACCACCTCCTTACCCAGAATGCTCTTTCCCCTTCCACCTTGACACTTCTCTGCACCTGGGTAAATCTGTTAATATGTCGCCTCCTCCAGGAAGTCTTCCTTGATCTCGGCAGTCAGGGCTGTGCTCCCTCCCTCCTGGGGGCTCCCCTTTACAACACTTCTCCATTGGCACTGTCTTTTGCTCATCTCAGGCCCCTCTGAGCTGAACTCCACAAGGTAGGAACTGGTGTGGTCTGTTCATCATTAGGTCCCCAGCATCCATCACAGTGCTGGTCCAACAGCGGATGCCCCTTGGATCCTGGCTGATTTAATGGACAAGTGGGAAGTTCTGTTTGCTGGGATACTTAAGCTCCAATGACAGTTTGCCCAGAAGGCCTCCCTTCCCTGTTCACCAGCTGATGCTAAGCCCAGCATGGGGACCCCACGTGTGAGGAGAACTCTGCCCCCTAGTGTTTCATATGGCTGGTTTCTCTGGAGTGAATTGCCAGACCTTTCTCCTGAGGTTCCTCTGGGTGAACCTGAACCTCCAGCCTTGCAGTCCACCCAGCTTGTTAACCGTTTGCACTATCCAGGGGCTCCAGGGTTCCTACAGACCTTGTTTTACGATTTCTTTTTCCATTTTAAAGAAAGAAAATCTGAGGTTTCATGAGGGGTAGTGACGTCCCTAAGGTAGCACAGCGCTGATGAAGGGCGCAGCTGTGGCTAGAACCAAGCCCACTTTTCAATTCCTAGCTTGTCCTGGTATGGTACTGCGGGTTAATGCACGGGACCACGAGGTCAATTTGAACTGCAAAGTCAGCAGTTCAAGCTCACCAGCCGCTCCTCAGAAACCCTGTACAGGACCACCATGAGCTGGCCCCAACTCCACAGCACTAACAACAACAACAAATCTTCTCTCCTTGCCCTCCTTCTCCTCCATCATCTACCATTCGCTGGGCACTTGTTACATGCGCACCATTGTACACGTGATCTCAGTTAATGCTCCTACAAGGTTATGCTGAATGTTTCTACTCATTTTCTCATCAACATCTGCCCTTTAAAACCATGCCCCAAACTCTCCAGGGCGTTTACCTGGATTAGAGCTCCTGCAGGACTTTAATTCCTCCGCTGATAATATCACATCCTCTAAGTTATTAAACCACAGCCTGGAGTAGCAGGTACTTCTACATCCATCAACACTCACCCAAACACAAGAGGAAGAGACAATGGCCTCCAAGCTGGGGGAAGAGTCTTACAAAGTGTCATTAAGAAAAAAACAAAAAACCCACAACTTTTTATTGTGAATTGAGTGAAGGCTCACAGAGCACATCACCAGTTTTGCATTCAACAGATTGCACACTGTTCCCTTTCAATGACTGTAGTTCCCCCTCCATGTGACATCCCATTTCCTCCTTCTCCAATCCTTCTGACCTTTGTCCTTAGGTATATGCTGCTCTCTTTATCCTGAATGGATAAGGCTGGGGGATGCTGGGAGAAGGCAGGCATCTAGGGAGACACTTTCAGGTCTGGTTTGAGATCCTGACCCTGCGTGAGGGCCGCAGATATTGGGGAAATAGAACAGACGACACAATGGCTATCGAGAACGGGGGGCACTGAGGGTGGTAAAAAAAAGTGGCGAATGGATAATGATGATGGTTGCACAATGTGAAAAAAACAATTGTGAAAATTATCCCGAGGTGCCACCCTCAGACTTTGGGATCCACCTTCCCACCATCAAGGGGCAAAAAAAAATCCTTGTCCAGAACAAAAGAGAAAGATAGATGGAAGGGAAAGGATCCAAAGAGAAATCAATCCCTGGGACTTAGAGCCCACACAGACTCCAACCTCTTCAACCCTGAAACCAGAACTGGATGATGCCCAGCTACTGACTGTTCTGACCAGGGGCAGGCTCCAAGGTCCTCGACAGAACAGAAGAGAAATAGAACAAAACTGAAATTCCTTCAAAAGACCACTCCCATGGGACCAAAAGAGACAAAAGAAACCCTCAAAACGATCGCCCTAAGGTCACCTTCAAACATGGAACTGAAGCTATCTCTGTGGGTCATCCTTCAGCCAAATACTAGACTGGCTTATAAAATAAACAGAATCACCCAAGTAACGTCTTAGATGAGACCAAATGGTCACCCTTTACACACAAAGCAAGGTAAGACAGTAAGGAGGGGCAGGGCAGCTAGATCAGCGGACACAGGACATGGTGAGAGTGCTGACATATTGTCCTGTTAAAGGGGAACCTAATTTGCTGTGTAAACATTCACCTGAAACACACTAAAATATTAAGTTGTTAAAAAAAAAAGAGGGAGGTAGCCGTGGGGCCTGAGGAGAGCAGAGGCAGGTCGCAGTGGAGGAAGGGTTCCGGGCGTGGAGGTGGACGCCCAGCCGTGTATGGACAGTGCTGCTGACTCGAAGCGCTTCCCAGGCCACCCCGAAGGTTATGTGTCCTGCCCGTGTGTGTTCTGGAAGTGCTGAGAGGAAACATCTGCCTCAGAGCATGACAACACCTTGCCACAGCCAGTATCTGACTAGACTCTCTTTAGCAGAGGCTCACGGTCACCTAGCAACCTGGTGACCTACACAGGAACGACTTTGTCTCCAACATGACCAGGTTTTCTCAGTCTTCAGACCGAGGGTACCCTCCCACACCAGGTCTACGGGAGGCAAACACAACCACAGCTACAAGAGAACACGTGGGCTGTAGGGATCGCTGTGTGGGAGGAGCACCTTGGACCGAGGAGACTCCAGCTGGTCGTGGTGATGTGGCACCAGGGTGGGGTCCCCAGTCCTGTGGATGATGCCCCCTCCTGGGGCAGGCAATAAGAGCGGAACTAGCAATGCCCACTGTGGCCCCTGTTAGTTCTGAGGTAAACAGCAGCCACGCCTGTTTGCTCCACGAAGAAACAAGGGTCCCAGGAGCTGACATGTCAGCCTTGAGAACAGAGCCAATGAGTCGCCAAGTCAGGTCCCGAGCCCAGGCTGGCTGGGAGACTGATGTGACTATTCCAGGTCGTGGTGTGGTGTGGTGTTCACACACATTCTACACATACAAATCCATTCATGAAGCTGAGGCAACTTTGGGTTTAAAGTGAATAGCATACAAATCCCCCTACACTGCAGTTTCTTTGGATTCTGGATAAATGCCATTTTATATTTCTGTCACTTGAAACAATACCACATTCCTTCAAATAATCTTTTCCCTGGCAGAGAAACATCATTAAAAATATGTACGTGTGCGCACACATACACACACGCGCACCCGGCAGGTAACATGTATACCTGGCCCATTTTCATGTGTAGGTACCAAGGCAGCGGAGCCTAGGGCTTAGGTGAAACCTCCATCTGAAGTGGATCCTCTGCAAACTACTGTGAGACCCAAACTCGGTTCCAGATGTCACAAGAGAGAGTCAGCGGGAAGTTCTCAAGAGAAACTGAAAGTAGTGAACTGGATGCTTGTGTAAACAAGTGTCAGATGTGAACCAGGACGACAGTGAACGCCCCAGGCTGCCTCTTACTTACACTCCCATCCCAGAAACCAGCAGGGCATCCATCCCTCTACCTCTGACTCAGATACTGCCCCATGGCTCTCTGGGAGTCACCAGTGTCCATGACGACCTCGTGTAAACACCTGGCCAACGCACCTCAGAGTCTGTGGTGAAACCCAGTGCTGGTACAATGCAGGACAGGCTGGTTGACGAAGCAGAGCACAGAAGGAAGACACGTCCAGGTGACTGCTTTCTTCACAAGCACAGCCAAGTACAAAATGAACCACACAGGGAGAGCCATCAGGTTAAACACACCGCTTTCTGGTGACACTATTATTCTTGAAGGATACTCAGAGGATCTGCTTTTAACTTGGAGCAAATGTTACAGAAATGTGACTACCTTCTAATACATGAAGTCACATTTGGAAGCCGCTAACTGTCTGCCGGGTCTGAGTGCTACCAGTGCTAATGAGCTGGACCCCTTTGCTTTCCACAACAGGGCCTGTTTATTTACGTACAGTGCTTACGAAAGGCTAAGGGCTCTAGAGAAGGAAGCTGTGAGCAGCAGTCTTCCGCCTGGCCCTGCCAGCTGGCCTGATGCCCTCCTGCTGGCCTTTACTTCCAGGTGGTGAGGACGCTTCTCCCCGAGTCCCTTGACCGGCTGCCTTTGGGGCCCAGCGACTGCCCCGGACGACTTCTCAGGTCCCGGTCGGCCCCGTCCCCCTGGGCCAGCTCCTCATCGTACCTAGAAGCAGAGTAGTTGCCACAAGATCACCATGGGCCACCTCACTCAGAGACTACCTGACCAGTCCTCTCCAGTCCACCAAGCACCACCCCGAGGCCACTGAGCAAGAACAGGGTGCTGTTGTACTGATTCCCACTGCCAGCGCCCTGTATGTGTCGGGGTAGAACTGCACTACACGGGTGCTCGGGGTAGGACCATGCTCCACAGGGTGCTCGGGGTAGGACCTTGCTCCACAGGGTGCTCGGGGTAGGATCGGGCTCCACGTGCTCGGGGTAGGACCGCGTTCCCCGTGCTTGGGGTAGGACGGTGCTCCATGGGTGCTCAGTGGCAGTTCTTTTGAAAGCACACTGCCAGGCCTTTCTGCCGAGGTGCCTCTGGGTGGACTGGAGCCTCCAGCCTTTTGGTTAGCAGCCAAGTGGCCTTGTTAAACTGTTACTGATGGCAGGGTCCTCCCCCATTGGTCAGCTGACATTGGATCCAGCCACCAGATCCACTGACCATCAAGGAAGAATGACACCCTGGAATCAGCCCAGGGTGGAGGAGGGGAGAGCTGCTGTCTCTAAGGCCTCCAGGCAGGGGGTCTCTGAGGCACCACTGACCACCAGCTCTGACCACGCCCCCATTTCTAGTGAATGCTCTTCCCTCAGGCTGTTCCAGTGCTGACTAGTGGAGGAGGTGGGGGGGAAGCTCTGGGGTTTCTGCCTTTGAAAGGGACCAAGTGGAATCTCAGCTGCCAGCTGGCGTCTGGGAAAGCCCTGAGGCGGACCTCCAGCAAACAGTACCCATGGCAACTTTTACACTGTTGAATGATCTGTGGAAGCTGGTTATGGAAAGTGCTCGCTGACACCTCCCCTCGAGCGCCGCCCAGGGCACATGCCACACCTGCTGTGCCCCAGAATAGGCCCTTGCCTTTCCCACTGCCACTGGTGCTGCCCCGCCTGACTCAGAAAGGTGGGCACATGTTGCCTCCGCTTCAGATGAGAAGACACGGGCAGAGGCCTGGGCACTAAGTCACATACATCAGGTAGTAGAGGTGGGGTTTGAACCCAGGCCTCGGGAATCAGGCATCAGAGCTGCAGCGCTGAGCGTGTCCAGCAGTCCTGCTGAGGGTTAGGATACGTGGTGGCTGGAGACCCTGGCCATACTCCGACATTTACGTCAAACCGAAAGACACTCTGCTGACTGCCGCTGTAGCTGACTTCTGCGGACTTCCTCTTTCTGTCCTTTCATGGACCCAGAATGGGGAGGAAAGCGCTAGAAAAAATACCAGTTATGCTCTGGTGACAAATGGGGCTGAAAGGAGAGGGGAGAGGCAAGGAAAAACTCCCAGGTCCTCCTCCCTTCCGGGCACTAGATGAGGTCACAGGTCACTGGAACCACAATGTGGGACCCGAGGGCTCTGCCTGCTTACACATGCCTCTCCCAGGAAGCCCCAGGCTCCCTGTTCTCCAGGCCTGTGCCCTGACAGGGCCACTGATGGGGGTGGGGGACAGTCGGACTCTGCTGAGTGAATGGGGGGAGATATACATGTGGTCTCTAGGCTTACAGACAGCATACAACACTGGGTGTGCACTGGGCAGGCAGGTGGGTGGGGTAGGCTATTTTCCCTGGCAGGTCTGGCCACTTTCCTGGCCTACATAGGGAGAATCAACAGTGCCCGAGGGTTCGTCCAGGCTTTCCTTCCTGGTGTTGTTGGTTAAAGACTGGGGAGGTACAGCCGCCACGTCAGCCTGGGGCCCTGGCCAGCAGAGGACGCGCAGGTGCAGCGGCGTCACAGCCAGGATGCAGTCTGGTAAATTCACCTGCAGCCCTAGTCACGTCATCTGTCAGCCCATTTGGAAAGCTCTGAAAGGGAGGTCGGTCCTGGGCACTAAACGCAATGCAGAGCACCTGGCCTGGTACGTGGACAGGGCCCTGTTCCCTCTCAGTCCCTTCCCCTCCTAGTCAGCGCCCTGTCTCCAGAGGCGAGGGGCCCTCAACTTTGTCAACTGAGCGAGTGGGAGCCACCAGCCCTGCACCAGAGCTGCAGTCCCCACGGAGGGGAAGGGGTGGCTAAGAGTGTCACTGCTTTAGCTCTTTAACAAGAGGAGGGCAGTGCTGATTCTGACCCCATGAAGGCTGTGAGGGGTGTAGGATCGTGAGCCACCGCAGCAAAGTCCCAGACTGGATGGACGAGGAGGCCCACATGCGCCTCCCCCTGCCCTCAGTGCCTCCCCTGGCACACCCCGCTCTCCACACCCCTCCTCATCCGTGTCTGGCTGCACATAAGCATGGACATTGTGCCCAGCAGACAACCAAACTTGGGGTCTGTGATGGGCCTGTGTTCAAACCCCACGCCAGCAGCGCCAAACAGCTGAGAGCTGCAAGATGCGTGTATGCACATGTTTCACAAATATTTCTTTCTGGTTTGATGTTTTAATTAGAGACATACCCCAGCAATACTAGGCTCGGTCCCAGACCACCACAATAAAGCAAGTCACACGAATGGTTTTGGGTCCCCAGTGCATATGAGAGGGACGCTGACTCTCTAGTCATCTATGAAGTGAGCGGCAGCGTGAAATCCTGTGAGAATGACCACAAGGGGACAGAGACACAAAGAGAGCACTTGAGCTCGGGAAAACGGCGCTGAGAGACTTGCTTGGCGCAGACCTTCCATTTGTAAAACATGCACGTAGCTCGATACGAGGATGTATGCCAGTGACTGAGGGCCTTTGCTTTGTTCGAATGTCAGTGGGATCTGGATGCACGAGCTCGGGCTGTCTTTAGTGCAGTCTCCTCCCGGCCCAGCCATCACCCACACTGACAACCCGCTCTCTGGGTCCTAGCACATGCTCCCCAGCCGTTCACCCAGGGCCCGCAGTGTAAGCTCTCCACCAATCCAGACCCCCTAATGTTCCCTGGTATGAAATAACCCTAATTTATGCCGACAATGCCCTCGAGAGAGAGGTACTCTGTGTTCCTACTGTTCGTCACTACCAACATGCCAATTAACTTCTCTAAGCCTTTGTTTCCACATCTGTAAAAGGGAGCTAATGACGATCCTTACCTCCTAAGATGGATGGGTAAATAGGACATGGCGTGGTTCCCTGGTCTGTGAGAGACCCACAAACATTAGCTAATATTACTATTTCTTTTGCTTGCCACAATGTAAGATTAATCTTATCATGCCATTAAGCATGTGTACAGACTGAAGCTCTAAAGAGTTTTGGTGTCAAACAGCTGTTAAGTGGTAGGGCCAGAAGGTGAGCAGGCATCCTGCTGAATAGGTGGCTGGCACTGTGCCCTGCTGCCCGCTGTCCCTGGCAGCTACCCCAATCATAAACACCTCGTAAGCAGAAAGCTAATCTTAGCACCCAAACTGCTTTTCTGCCACAACGTGGTCTGCCCGACAGTGTCGTCCGTAAGTGACACACGTGGTCCACATTGAACCAGAAGATGCAAAGGGGACCTTGCTTGACACACTCCTCAATTTAAAGGCGCCGCAGAGTCCCATACAACTTACAGAATCTCATAATTGCCGAGGACTTCCTTTGGGGGGGACTTGTTCCACTTGCAGTCCGGAATCTCACCATTAGGGACCGCGATGTTGAGGGTATCGTTAATCAAGTTGTACTTCAGGATCCGGTCGTTGGCGGTGCTGGAGGTGAGAGACGGGGACGCGTTAACCTAGGAGAGGAAAAAGCCCATAGTCCTCACTTGCATCACTGACTCCTTTGGAATCAAAACATACAGCGCAGAAGAAAAGGCTGGCTACCCATATGACCAGCACAGCTGCCACTTAATACCATTTGTATCAAATGCCTCAGGGCATCTTGTCTGGGCAGCAATTCCTGATCTCAAAGTGATCACAGTATTTCAAGGCAGGAGTAGTCTATGACCCACAACCCAGCCACTATACAAATCAAAAAGCAAGTCCACGTCCATCAGGAATGCAGCCTCCGAGTTTGTCAATCTGTGACCGGCTCTGTCTGTAGGACCCAGAACCTCTCAGGCTTCATAAGCAACAAAGCAAAGACGCCCGAGTAAGAAGCATGTTGAGGTCTGAGTCAAACGTAAGAGGCCTGTGTTTTGCTGAGGGTGATGCTTTGTTAATAAAGCAATATTGTCATTGCTAGGTGTCATTGAGGTGATTCACACAGGGATCCCAGGTGACTCCATGTGACAGAATAAAACAACCCCACACCTAGTTGTCAGAGGGTTTCATTTACTTGGATCCACGTGAGTCAATGCCCACTTCCATGGGCATTGACTCATGTGGTTTCATTTACTTGGATCCACATGAGTCAATGCCCATGGAAGGAGCAGTTGGGAAATCAAGGATGTATTATATTGGGCAAATCTGCTCCAAAAGATCTCTCTGAAGATCTCTGAAGAGCTAAGATGCCACATTGAGAACCAAAGTGCACTTGTTCCCAGGTCATGGTGTTTTCAATCTCCTCATATGCATGTGAAAGCTAGATGGTGAGTAAGGAAGATGGCAGAACTGAAGTGAAAGTAGCCGGTGAATAAGGAAGACGGAGGAACATCACAGTTTTGGGAAGGAATACTGAACATGTGACTGCTTTCACAGGGCTCCCGGGCTTGGGAGCTCCTTTCTTGGATGGAAACAAGACCCGACCTACAACCAGGGACATACGATCAGGAACCCACTGGTCAGGGTACAAGACCGCCAAAGCACAGGCTGGTTGAGAGCTCCAGGGTCTCAGGTGCTGCCGACAGGCTCTTGTGGACACTCTGAGCTGGATGATGGCAGCTCCCTCTCTGGGTCACACTCCATTTCAAGGGGCAGCAAACTGTCAACCTGGAACATCTGTCCCTTTCCTGTCTAAGACCTAAGCTGCCCCAGTCCTGTGACTAGGACTGAGGCCCGTTTAGCCAGGGGCCTGTGAGCCGGATGCAGGCAGAACATTCCATACACGGTACAGTGACAATGCTGGTGAGCACTCACCTCAATCAGCCAGGGCTTCAGTCTGTCATCGATGATGATGTCATAGCCATAGCATTCGAAGCAGTGCTTGTCATTGTTCATCACCGGCTGCGGAGAGAGCCAAAGGTGCAGTGAGACCACCGTTCCAGGGGGCCACGTCCCACCTCCTCTCTTCCCTTTCTCTCCCAGAGGGCTCCAGGACTGAATGCATCCCTCGGCCTCACACACGGAATTTATGATGCGGGGGCCAGTGACTCCACGCTTCCCTCCTCAGAGCTGACCACCGACTACCCGTAAGCTTGGGGCCCTGGGCTGAGGCTGCACAGCCTTTCACAAGCAACGGGAACCTGTCACCAGGCTGTCACACATGTGCAGGCTCCCAGGGACATGGGGCAGCACCCGATTAGGAACCTCTTGTTTCAAGAAAATAGTAAATCCACCTAATGCAGAAATCGGAACTTCTCAAATCTTTTTACTTCTCAATTCCATTTCACTGCACACAAACCTGCTCACCAAATGCATTGAAAAAAAAAAAAAAAGGCAAAACACTAGGCTGCTAGCTTACAACAGATTTCAGCACCCTATGAAGGAACACATGAGGAGAGGAAATGAGTTCCTTGAAGTGGCCTTTCACCTTGGTTCCTTAGAAGAACAGCTCCCCACTAAGTCCTGAGGTTTACCTTTGCCCTAAATTTTCTACCCCAGAGCATTTACTTTTGTCCAGGTTGATTGGTGTTTCTTGGGAAAGCTATCAACAACTTGCGGTGTGATACTTTTTGTCTGGTTCTGTGATTGGTATGCACTTTGCAGGGATTGGTCAAAAGACAATGTAAACGAGGTAAGTTGCAGCCTACCATGTAAATGAGGTGTCTGTGGCCAACCCAATAGGGACTGCGCACTGACAGGCCTGGTGGGAGTAAGTACCATGCCTGTAACTAACTAAGCAGCCAGCCTCACAGAGGTTTTTGAAACAAAAACAAGCCAAGAGAAAAACAGGGAAAAAACAAAAGGAATAAAGAATAGAAGGAGAGAAAGAGTGAGAGGAGGCAGTAAGGAGCCTCCTCAAAGAGTGGGAGCGCTGGTCAGGGCTGTAAAAGAGAAGACAGTGACAGGCCCCAGAGGGACCCCGCAGTGCGGGTGGAAACAGAGGGGTCCTCAGGAAGCGGGGGGAGCAAGCGAAAGGAGTCTGTTCTCAGGGGCCAATTAGAGCAGGTCCTCAGTGGACTGAGAGGAGCTGAGTAGGCTGTTGGGCACTGAAGAAGGGAGACTTGCCTCCAGGCTCCCTGATCCTGACCCTGAGCTATAGCCTGGTCCTTAATATACAGCTAATCTGTAAGTAGGCCGTGTGAGTTTGGTGTGGCCATTGCAGAAGGTCATCAAACTCAGAAGAGAAGAAGGGAGTGTCGCAAGGAGGGGCAGCTGCTGTTGGAACTGGTAGGACAGTGGGAGAGTGGAGGTATGTCTGACCCCCACCTCACAGGAACCACCACCAGCTGTGTGCTGATGGTCATTCACGCCTCCCACAATGACACACCCAGAATCCGTATTTTCACCAGGAGCCTTGCATACTCCAAAGTCAGTGAGTCCCGTGGACGCCGCAATGCGGCCTATTTATGGTGGGGGGGGGCTCAATTTCGACCTGGAAGCCCCTGAGGGAGAAGGGCCCACAGATGACCTGCCCACCTACTCCTGGATTCTGGAGGAAAGCCAGGCTCCTGCGTTGTGTCTAATATAGAGGATCACATGTCTACACGAACCCCGGTGTCTTGCCCCCACCACTGTCCACTAAAGCCTCTGCAGGTCCAGCAGTTGCTCAGCCTGTCATGCCCTAAGCCATGCTCCCAGTCTCCAACTCTCTGGGCATTCTGCCCCAGCTGTCCCTGTCCCTCGCTGCTTGTCCAATCCATCTCGGTTCCAGACACAACACCTGCTACCGCTTGTGCTCCTCCCTGCCGCACCCCCAGATCTCTGTGTGCCTGGGAAAATTCAGGAAATACCTGCTGAGTGAATGGAGAAGAACCACATAAATAAATCCTTGCCCCCAAGGCCCTCAGCCTGAGAAGTCCAACAGTTTAACAGCTTGGGAAGCCAAGACTAGGAGAGGCAGCCAGAGTTACTCCCAGAGGCGCCAGCCAGGAATTAGGCATGTTCCGGGGCCAAGATTCAGGCTTACTTGATGAAAAAGCTAACTGTGAGGGGGCTTCAACAAGTCTGAGATGGAAAGATCATGAAAATTTCCACGAATATTCAGAAGCCCCCTCCCTATTTCTGGAAGCTTAGTCAGGACAGAGAATCAGATGGGTTAGGGATGGAGGCCAAGGGGTTAGTTGAATCACAAGATCAAGTTCACGCCCCCAAGCATTGCGTTATGTCTGCGGAGCATTTGTCATAGAATACCAGAGTTGCTGACAAATTTCAGAATAAGGCACCCGAGGCTCAGAAATGTGGGTGCTTCCCACCAGATGGGAAGTCATGTCTGAGCCCAGGCCTCCCCAGTGCTCCACCATCCAGGCCATAACAATGGCTTCAGTGGAGTAAGACCTGGAAAACTCTGCCAGATGGTTAGCTAGAGCCGGAGGGAGTCCCGTTCAAGTCCTCGGTGTGAACAGAGAGAAAAGGCCACACCCAGAGCTCATGGACAACTTCATAAAAACCAAAGAGCATCCAACTCAAGACCAGAGACAGTGGAGGCGCCCCCTCACCAAAGAAGCCAACTGAGCACTTCTTCTCACAGGGTTATTCTGAAGGGGGCTCTTACGTACAGGGTGGGTTCAAGCTAGGCAGGTATGCTGAGAGAAAGCCAGGTGAGAGCCTGAGTTTTCCACAGAGAAGGGTTCGTATCAGTGTTTTCACAGACACCACCCCTAACCGCGTGTCACCAGAGCCATGATCACACAGTCTCCAAAACAGCCACATCACACGTCTCTGACTGTGGGAGTGACAGACATGTCCACAGCCCCTCAGCTCCACGGGTGTGGGATGCAAGGGACAGTCTGGCCTTCTTATCCCGGTGTGACTTGGGTATGATTTCTGAACCTTTTTGAAGTTTTAGAAGCACCTTTATTATGAGAATGGGAGGTGTCCAACATACGCAGGCTCCAGGGAACCCAGTCATGTGCCCACCCTTTCATGGGTCAGTCTGTCTGGGACCTGCCTCTGCAGACAGCAAGGCAGACCACACTGCCCTCAGAGGAGAGAGGAGAGGCCACGAGAACAAGAGTGGAGTGAGCTTGGCAGTGTGGGATGGTCAATGCTATGCCAGAGGATGAGGCCCGCATCTGCTCTGCCCCTCCCGGTTCTTCGGGCTGAGCCTCCACATGACTGAGGTGTCACATGGGGTCAGAAAGCCCCTGAGATCCCATGCGGGAAGCACTGAGAACAGTGGCTGGCAGATGGGTGCACAAACACTTATTCCTCTCCCCCCACCCTCGAAAAGAGATGTGCATCCGCTTTAAAAACTGGGAAGGAAAATTAACCAAATAGATACAGGATGAGGTGGGGCCTGTGGCTTTCAGCCCTAGACAGCTCAGAAATACCAAAGTCAAGAGGCCTTAATGTATGTCCAAGAGAAGGCCTAGGGGGGGAAGTGGGAAAACTGTTGTTGCAGGGAGGAAATTGTCATCACTGAGATGAAAGAAAACATATAATTTATTGAATGTAAAGCTGATGATCTTTCCATTAACCTTCACTCAATTCACAATCAAAAGTTAGAAAAAGAAAAAAGCCTTAACCAGTGTCTTGATGGTTTCAACGGGTCCAGCCGGGCACCAATGATGGTGGTGTCCAAAGGCCTGGCTTCTGTGGCTGCTTCCAGAGAAGCCTGGGCTGCGCCTGGTGTGCACTGTGCACACACACACACACACACTGTGCACCCGTGCACACCACACACACATGCACACACATACTGTGCACCCGTGTGCACACCATACACACGCACACCACACACACTGTGCGCACCCGTGCGCACACACACACAAACGGAGAGCCTCCCTACATTGCAGGAGCAGCCCGGCAACTGTCTGACCCTCTCTCTGCCTCACTCGGCTTCTGGGCTGAGTGCGCTGGCTGCTGTCCCTCCTCCCGGTGCATCTGGGCTGGACACTCACCGCCACCGCCTTCAGGGACTGCACGATGATCCAATGGATCTCGTCAAACAGCTTGCTGGTGACCTCCCTGCCCCGGGTACTCTCCAGGTACAGCCGCAGGTTGCTCACGGTCCACTTGCCCCCGTGGATGTGATTGTAGTCGTCCTGCAGGGTCACAGGGTACCTGAGGCATTTGTTCTCTGAACCCACCCATGTCTCCCCACCTGCTGGGTCGACATGGTCCTCTCCCCAGGGAGATCTTGGCCTTCTCTCAACTTAAAATCATTCCACTCTGGACCATAGTCATATGTCACATAATGTCCACCAATGTGGTTGTCAGGTGCCGTGGAGTCGGTTCTGACTCACAATAGGCCCAGAACACTGTCCTGCGCTGTCTTCGCTGTGGTTGCTAGGTATGAGCCCATCATTGTTGCCTCTGTATCAATGAAGAATAAATATTCACTGAAGGTTCTGTGAAATCGGATGTTGTGTGATTTGGACTTTGTACCTGGACCACAAACAAGTTCCATTTCAAAGTCTGTCTTTAAGTTGCATCTATGCAACTTACGAATCGGGCTGCGAACCTTAAGGTCAGCGGTTCGAAACTACCAGCCGCTCCGCGGGAGAAAGATGAGGCGTTCTACTCCCGTAAAGATTTACGCCCTCGGATACCCTGTACAGGGTCGCTATGGGTCGGAACCGACTCGATGGCACTTAACAACAACAACAACAACATGCATAAACTGGGAAAGTTAGGTTAAATTTTTTCCTAACCTATAGTATGGTGGTGGTGGTTCTGTGCCGTGGACTTGGTTCTGACTCATAGCGACCCTGTACAGGGTTTCCGAGGCTGTATATCTTTACAGGAGCAGAAAGCCTCATCTTTCTCCTTTGGAGCAGCTGGTAGTTGTGAACTGCTGACCTTGCAGTTTGCAGCACGGTTTGTAACCACCACATTACCAGAGCTCCTTAGCCTATAGCCTATAGTATAGAGTGTACGTTTTTATGCATATAAATTAAAGCCAGACTATAACATCATCACTTAAAGCACCTCTTGAATGTAACAGCACAGTAAACACAACCACAGCATCTGGCTGCATGTGTTGTTACGAACCACTCTGCGGACCCTGGATCTATGGGGGTTGGGCCCACAGACAGATGTTAGGGGGCGACGTTCTGCAGCCCAGGACTGTATTCTTATCAGTGACCGTCTACACCTTGTCATGCCTGCAGGATCATTACTTCAGGAACCCTGGCAGCTCCGTGGGTTAAGCATTGGGCTGTTCACTGAAAGGTTGGTGGTTCGAATCCACCAGTGGCTCTGTGGGAGAAAGATGAGGCCATCTGCATCCTTGGTGAGGCTGAGGGCAGTTCTAGTTTATGCTACAGGGTTGCTATTATTAATCAGAGTTGAGTCAGTGGAAGTGGGTTTTTGGGTGGATCACCTGCTGTGATGGCCACCCGATCCCCTACCAAAATAAGTAAGATGTTCCTCCAGCCGAGACCCTCTCTGGGACCTGCCCTTGGCTAACAGGGGGTCTGGCCTAAGGTGACAGCCCTCGAGGGAAGCCCACATCCCAAACCTGGTTGATACCAAAGTACCAGCCCCCTGCCTCCAGCTCCTGCTCCATTCGGAACCAGCTGCAGGACGGTCCCAGCTCTAGAGCGCCTCTAGAGGGCACGACCCTTCAGTTCGCAGATGAGTGCTTAATTACTGTGCCACCAGGGGTCCCTGCAGCATTTCATCAGAAATCTTTCAAAACATTTGAAAGAGTCATTTCCAAACATCATCTACTCCGGAATTATCTGCTCTTTTCTTCCCCTCTGTAACCCCATCTCCACCTGCTCAGGGCACTGTGTGGAAGGCAGGATGGACGCTTCTCTCCATGGGCCATACCCACAGTCCTCTGCACCTCCAGACAGCACCAAGGTCCCTCTGCCCTTTGTCATCCTCAGTTTCTTGGAGACTGCCTCCGCTGCAGGTCTCCAAGCTCTGAGGGCAGGAAGTGGGTGGGTGGGTGGGGG